TTGTAATTAGGTCTCTATAGTTTTTTCTCTATGTTTTTTCTATCCATTAGGTCTTTATAGTTTAAAACACTTTAAAAACATCTTTATTATTTAAAAAATTTATAATTAAATCATTTACTCACTAATGTGGTTAAAAATTTGTAATTAATTACTTTTTTTACTTTCGTTTATTTTAAATGCTTATAATTGATTGAATTCTTTATTTTAATATGTTAATTTACACCGTTTTAAAACTCTTTGATATTTTTTAATTTATATTTATTCATAAGAACTAAGGAAAATAAAAACTAAACCCTAAACCCTAAACCCTAAAATAAAAACTTTCATAAATAAATATTTTAAATATGCTAAGTATACGCAAATATCTATTTAAAAATAATTTTATTTCAAATAAATATTCTAATTTTATATTTAAAGAGAATATGATATTAAAAAATAACTAATATTTAACATATACAATGTATAAGATAAATGCTTATTTTATAGTTATGATTTATAATAAATGTATATTTTAAATATTAAAATTATACTATAATTAAAGTTTATAATAAATATTTTTAAACATATAAATTATATTTTAAATTTAAAATAAATAATTTATATTTTAATATAAAATTATTTTTTGTTATTAATAATTATTGTAATTACAAATTTTAAGCATGTATAACTTAAATATTTAAGTATTTATTTATTATGAATCATATGTATATAATTTTTAAACTATTTATTTATTAAAAATTATTAATTTTATGAATAAATATAAATTAAAAAGTATCAAAGAATTTGAAATTTGAAATATAATTTAAATATAAGCAGAAAAGGAACCTTAAATTTTTTTGTGATTACGGAATATTAAAATTATATATATTTAATTGAAAACATTTAAAATAAATGAAAATAAAAAGATAATTGATTAACGTATTAAAAGGTATTGTCATGTGATAATACCCGGTCAGTATAAACTAATAAAATTTTAACAACCTCAGTGAGTGAATGACTTAATTATAATATTTTTAAATTATAACGATGTTTTTAGAGTGTTTTAAATTATAGGAACCTAATTAAAAATTTGATAAAATTATAGAAAAATTTAACCTGAAACATAAAAAGTCATGATAATTGAAGCAATGAACAAATTAACTTTTATTAATATATAAATGTAGGGACAGCTTAATTTTCAAATACAAATAATTAAAACCACGAGAACTATTAATTAAGTGATAATTTCTCTGTTATTTGTGTTATTCTCTTTCTTTTTTAATTTATTAATATGGATGTCTCTATATTTCAATGATGATTTAGATCAGACAAATTATATTATTATGCGAAGCTTATCATGATTATTTCTTTTGTTATGGAAGAAAGTGTTAGCACGTGGACATGAGAGGATAACCAATGACACATTTCTAATGAATTCATGTCATCTTTTGATTCGAGCTCAAAGACTTTTCATCTCAAAACCACAGCATTCTATGGATAAAAAAAAATGGTCACCGAAAGTTAGTAGTTAGATTTTTGACAAGATTGTGAAGGGAAAGACGATACAAACAAATTGTGACACGTGTTTTTTAAAGAGGTATAAGTATAACATAATAAGGACATATGTTGTTCTATGTGGCTCATACAGTCATACTCATACACCGGGGACGAGATGGTTCACACTGGGCACGAGAACTCCACCAGTTTTTTTAGTGCAAATTTGTGGGGTGTGACTCTGGCGAGAGACTTTCAAAGAGCAACGTGTATTCTCTATATGACTTTCACTAGACACCACCTTATAAGTGAATAGGTGTTTAAATTATATTATGTGATAGTGTTTTTGGAGGTATCTAATTATGCGAATGATCTCTATTAATTAAGGAATATAGTGTGATGATTAAGTGATGAATTATATAATAGTTTAAGGGTAAATATTTATTTTGGTGTTTATCCTTTGAAATTGGTTACTAATGATGTGTATATGTGTGAATTATGTGATGATATGTGACGTGAAGTTTAAGCTGAAACTTAATTGAGAAAAGGTGTGATATAACATGTTTTTGTGAATATGATATATAAGGTGAACTTGTGATGATAATATAATATGATATATGCATGGAGTCTTGTGAAACATGCATCATTAACATGATTTTTTGTGTGAAAGGGTACAATATGAAATATAATGTCAAATAAGGTTCCTCTTGTTTTAAACTTGGAGATTCATGACATTGGGGATTATTAAGTTTAGGAGTTATGATTTTGTTCGTTTGTATGCATAGGGTATAACTTGTGTGACACCGTTATCCTAATATCTCCTCCTAATGGAGAGTGTTGTGATGACTTGACTTGATATATTTTCTTAAACTACTTTATGTGTGCCTTCAAACATGATTAAAGTGTTTACTAGTATCACATGCATGTAGACTCGTAAAGTCTGTGTCCATAACATTGTTTGAATCTTATACTTGTTGATATATTGGGTTATTTTGATTTATAGGTTAAAATATTTTTTTAGTCTGTTTAGTCTCTATAGTTTAAAATAGATTTTTTTAGTTCTTATATTTATCTTTTTCAATCCTTTTTTAGCTCTGATAGTTTAAGATAAATATTTTTAATTCTTATACTTACAATTTTTTAATCATTTTAGTTTTTATTGTTAATTTTTTTGTAATGTCTATTTTATTTTGACCTAGTAGATGTCTTTAGTTTTATGAGGGTAAAAAAAAGGTGTCCCAACAATAAGTGTATAGGTGGAGTATAAAAGAAATACAAAATGTCGAAAGACCTAATTTTAAGTAATTCTAGCAAAATAAATTTGAAATCAAACATACAAAGTTGAATTAAAATCTCTCTGTTACGTCAACACGAAAGAGACAACATTAAAAATAATTAATGATAGAGACTAAAAGAATTAAAAAAAACTACAAATATAAGGATTAAAAGGTAAAGTATGTAAAACTACGAGGTCTAAAAAATATTTTAACCCAATTCATATTTATTGTTAAGATTGCTAGTAATATATGTTATGCTAATGTTAAGTGGCTACTCGACAATATCTTATACTAGTAGCTAGAGTGAAATGTTTCTTTGTCTCATTGCTCATGTTTCGTGTTATTATATATGTCATGTAGGAGAGGATCATCATCCTAATAATAATGTTGGAGATGAGACTTAAACCTTATGTTTAGTGATGAGTTGAACTATAATAAGACGTGATATAAAAGCTTTAGTTTAATATTTCATGTTTTCTTTAGTCTTTATTGTGTGTTAGGACTTATGTTAGTTTTTTGTTTGTAATGGCTTATTTAGTCACTTGCTTTAGTATTCTTTTAGTTATGGTTTTTATGTTTTGTAGATGTAATTTCCTCTATTCAAGGAGTCTTGTGAATTATTTCTATTTTTTAAAGTTATTTTCAGACTCTTTTATTATCTCTTTTTTATAGTTATGTATATGTTATTATACAAGATAGAGAATGTCACACTTATTTTTATTATAAGCTACAACTTATAAGGAAATAATTATATTTTTTATAGAGTATTTTACAACTTTTATAAGACACTAATTTTATGTGAATAATATTGTCACTTCAATTATGAAAATTTAATGATAAGTAACTAGGATAAAATTGATACAGTGTAATTTTATTTTATAATTTCAATAAAATCAACTAATATAACTATGTATATTAGCTTGCATGATTTAAAAAAAATGTCTTATAATAAGGATTAAAGAGAGTATCAATTTTAGACCTTCTACATAAAATAAATAAATATATATATAAGAGGGTTCAAACGATACCGGTGTAACTTTTACTAAGTGTTACACCACTCAATAACTTTATATTAAATTTGAATTTTAAAAATTCAACCGTTAAATTGAAATTTCATATCTCTTAGATCATATATATCAAATTTTATATTAATCTAAGATGATTTGATACTTCATTCTCATAAAACAAAATTGATATAATATATTCATTTCAAAATATACTAAAATATGAACACTTTGATTACCTTCAAATTGTTGTTCAATTTTAACAAAATTTGATATACACGTATAAAGTGATATAT